TGAATCCTATAAACTAGCAAATGTCATCGTAACGTTCAAACCCCTCACCTCATCAAGCCACATCCATGGCCCGTATATAAATATTGTCAGAGTTACATTTCCCGGGGTTTGCCTCCATTGAGGTTTTCTCTCCGCCCGGAAAGGGCTGCTGTCTGGTAGCCACAGGGGACTGACCAGGGTGTGGGGATCATAGGGCACAGATATAACAGATATTTCCAGAGATTATCGCTAGTCAAGCCAAGTCGCTGGCCATGCGCTGTCCTCACCGATCAAGGCCAACAAGAGGCCAACAAGGCCCCAGAAGAAGCTGCCACTGCATAGATTCACAAGGAGTGCGGAGCCTCAGGGCTGCAGGACAGCAACAGCTAAACATTCCCTAAGATCTGCACCAATCACAGCTCAAAAGCCAAGTTAAGCCACCAAAATACAATCTCGATTGCCTCCATAACAGTGTTTTCATTTATCTCAATTGATTTACTCGATTGCCCACTAACATTCAGTTTTATAACTAACAACTATCCTCGGATCCAGTCGTTCCCCTTGACAGAAGATTGCACATCAAGCCAATAAACCAATAGAACCATAAAACAAAAACAAAAACAAAAACAAAAACAAAAATGAAAAGAAAGAAGTGAAAAAATCCATGAAAGCAAAGGGTAAAAGCAAAAAAAGAATAATGCTGCAACGTTCTACGATCTGTCATAAGAAAAAAGAATACAAAATGTATTGAAGCGTTCTACGATCTTTAACAAAAGATCTCGTTATGAGCAAAAGAATGGAAAATGAATACAACAAAAAAAAAGAGAAAAGAAAATGAAAATGAAAATGAATATAAAACCCTTTGTTGGTCAATCGTTCGACCTGCAGTTGGTTTGCCAAGGCAACCGTCACATTCTATGCTGATAATGAAGAAAAGAATTTATTACTTGTGACAAATCGTGTGAACATTAACCAAAGGCAATGCAAACTCTTCAGATGGAGGCCGGCGAAGATCCCCGCGTGAAATTTCCTTCATAGTTTTGTTGCAATTTATTAACCCATCCTTCCCATGACGATTTCCATCACTAACTCCACCTAAGATTAGATTAAACATCAGCTCTCATTCAACAAAAGTTGCACTCCTTTTTGGTGGCTTGCTCAGAGCTGAGCCTTGTGATTTTCAAAGTATTGTGTATGTTTTCTAGTCACTCTCTTTGCGCTCTGTCCTGCAGCTAAATGGCTTCTCCTGGGCTCCGCTCTCCGACCTGAATTCGATATGGAAGCAGAGCCAACGCAGAGAGCCCAAGACTATCGCATACCGGACCGTGGATCCCATGCATCCATCCTCAATCGGCCACAGCCATGAAGCTCTGCCACATCTCAGAGAAGATTCCGCTAACCAAAAAAACGATTTGTAAAACTTTCAGGTTCTGCCTGGAGGATAACTGTTTCGGTTTCTGTTTCTGTTTCTGTTTGTTTTCCCCCAGCCCATCCTTATTTTTCCACCAGCTTTGCTCTGTCCAGACTGTCGTCCATTGTGTGCCCCAAGCTACCAGTTTTCCCCATTAATGTGTGTACTTCCACCAAATATGAGTTTGAATCCTGCAATCCTCCATACCGACAGTCCCACACACTACTCGAGCTTCAACTTCACACACACACACACACACAGATACACATTCATATACATACAATCGTTCGGGTTTCGGAAAACGCGTCGAAGCGTTGCGTGGTCTTGAAACGTTTTCCGAAACGGAGAATTTCGAATTTGCGTATAACACAAAAAAAAAAGAAAAGAAAAGAAAAAGAAAAACCCGGTAAGCGTGAGCGCGCCGTGAATTCGAAAATGGAAATGAATAAAAAAAACATTGCCAAAAATAAAAGACTTGCAGCACCGTTATACGCAGCTCGAAAGAAAAGAATGAAACAAACAAAAAAAAAAAAGTGTGAATACAAAAATGATTGTAATTAAAAAAAAAAAAAAAAAACATTTCCATGTAAAAGAAACAAGCAAGTCAAAACAGCACCGTTATACGCGACTAGAGAGACCCGCGAAAAAATATAAGTGAAAAAAGGAAGCGTTATACGTCTGAGCACAATCAAAAAAAACATAAAATATTTTATGGCTTTTCTGTATAACTTCATACGTGTTCGTATAACGTTGTGCGTCTGAGCTGAAATAATAATAGAACAAATTGGTTCAGTCTGTATAACGAATGGAATAACAAGCTGTTATACGTCCGAGAATATTGAATGAAAACAAATATAAGATAAATGTTTATTCTGTATAACGGAATAGCATGGCAACGTTATACGTCCTCAGTGATTGGCAAAGAATCAAATATATTCGTTCTGCAGAAGGAATATGTATAATGGCAGCGTGTCAACGAAACATAAATATATATTCTGCAAAAGGAATGTTTTCGAAGTGTTATACGTCCTCCCTGATTGGCAAAGAAACAAATGTGTTTGTTGATTTGCGATTTTTATGTGTTCCTTTGCGAATCGGTGAGGACTCTGAGAAAGTCGGAATGGGAAACTACAGATGTGTGTACGTGTGGCACACATGTGTGTAGTTTCCTGTGCCGCACAAATGAATTGATTAAATGTCTTGTTGAAAACTGAAATAAAAGTGTTTCACTTGGGTTGGGCCTGAGAAGAGTGCGGGGAGCTCTTGGATGGAATTGGAGGCAATGCTGGAGAAACCAAACAGGATGTGGCAGCAGCATTAAGAGGAACTACTCAACGAATGCCGTTTAAATCATAAGAACCACGCTACACATTTTATGCTCACAGAAATAATTGAAAAGTTGTACATCAAAATGTAAAAGCTGTATACACAAAAGCATACATACAATATTAAGACACATACCTAAATGTCACATTTTGTGGAGTGTAAGCGACTGCTTAAATGAATGGCTGTCAAAACCTTAAGAGAAATATGAAAGAACTTATAGTACACCTGAACTCGTTTGAATCATTAAGTATGCAAAAGTGTTCTTTAATATATGCAATTACAAAAACAACAAACGAAAAAACCATTTCTAAAATGTATAAAAGGCAAAATGGTTTTCCACAAGCTCGTTTCATTCAAAGCTGAGCTCTAAAATAATTGAAATTATTGGAAAGCATTAACGTAAGACTTAATCTGTTCGGTTCGGTTACACGAGTCGCGCGTCATGCGGCAGCGCCCCTCGGTCGGTTGGGCGGGAGGAGGGGTGCGTTACTGCCTGGGTTTCGCGCGTAACAGGCTTCGGCTTGGTGTTGCTTGGGCCACTTGATTGTGCAGTCATTGCATATCAACGTCCAAAGAAAATACAAACAATTAAGTTGAAAAAATTAATTTACATACATACATATGTACATACATACATACATACATACATACATATGTTGGCAGAGTTGAGTAAATCTGTTAAACACCGAAGACTATATTATTGAATTATAAAGAGATGAAATTATATTTAATTCATTTACTTAAGCGGTTGAAAATTTTATTGGATTGTCCAAAAAGATTCTCGTAAATGGAGTTATGACAAATGGGACCTGTAAATTTCGAAGAATATTCAACAAAAGAACAAATAACTTTGAAATAACAAATAAATTTGAAGATTTTATGCAAGAGCAAGTTCGTGCAGGGCATCAGTCTGCTCCATCCTCTGAACCGCCTTCCTCCTCCTCTTCGACTTCCTCGTCCTCCTGGTATCCCACTCGTCCTCCTGCTGCTCCAGCTGCACAGTCCAGAGTCGTCTTCCCATATTGATTATATACTGGCCAAAGACCAACCTAATAGCAGTGCAAGTGAGAGCCATCAAGAGCAACGCTATGAAAAAGGGCAAAAGAGTGAAGCGTTTGGTGAGCAACTTATCAACGATAGGTACTGCCGCTACCGGTCGGAAGTAGTAATAAATAAATTTCACAATTTGTTCAATCATTTCGATAATCGGATCTAGCTGAAGTGTGTCAAGAAGTAATTCAACGACTTGAACAACATCCATTGTGGAATACAAATTATTACTTCGAAATTAGAAATATTTTTAAGTTTTTACTCGGGATATTCTGAGTTGTCTAGAAGGGGAGCATGAAATGACCGAAGCGCCTACTTTACTCTACTTAACACACATAAAAGCCTCAATCACAAGAATGGAGAATGGTCCTAGTAAAATGATACAAACACTGGTATCTTAGCGAGATACTTTCTATTTCCAGAAGCTCTTTGAACCCGGTTAAGCTCTGAATTAAACATGGAATAAATCGAATCCGATTGTGAGAATATTTGAATGCTGATTTCTGGTTATATATATATATACAGCTATATATACAGTTCCAGAAAAAGAGGAGTTGACAGAGCTACCACAGCTGATCAGTAGGGAGGGCAAAAGATCCATTTTGCGAGCTACCGAATATGAAAGTGAAGGCACTGCCATAAAGCGAGCGACAAGTGATCCATTTACATATAGTTTTTAGATATCAATTCGAAGGCCTTACCTTACATTTACAATTTACCATACATTTACATTATACATTCACTGCTGTGTAATATACAGGGCATATCTACCTGGCGACCTCTGCCATAAATTCATTTTTATATTATACATATATTTACTCTACAATATTTATTACATACCATGTAGCACTTAACTTGAAGCTCTACATACTTCTTACATGAATTCTACATGCAGACATATTTGATACACAAAAGGCGCCATCTACAGCTACGTAGCCTGCGCATAATTTTCGTTAAATTTCAAGCAAAAACTGTAATATTCAAAATAAAATCCACCACCAAAATAAGAACACTTTCCATATTGTATTTTGTATGTTTATTTTTAGAAAAATAATTCTTTAGCATTCTTTTTGTGGATGCTAGACATCTCTTTTCTCGTCACTCGTTTTCTGCAAAAGAGAAATTGTTTATAAAAAAAGTATTATTAAGTGTAGTTAATTAGGACGACTTAATAACTATAAATACACAAAATCGTTCAAATGCATTAAAGAAACTCGGAATAAAAATCCCTTTCTGATTGTCGGTAAATGCTATTTAAGTACAAAGATAAAAAAAAAAGAATGTAATCAAAATCGTATGCTTCGAAAATAATTTAAAGTAATACTTAAAAGTAGGCCTAAGTCTAATATATAGAAAAAAAAAAGATTTGAGATGCGAGTGTCGTTGGACAACAGCTCACAAAAGGAAGCTCAGCGACTGAGTTTCAAACTTCTGGCTAACCATATGAATAAAATGGATCGAAACACGGATCGATACGGCTATAACTATCAAATAAGAAAATATTTATGATAAAGAACAAAAAAAAAACACTTATGCGGCAGCGAGGGGAGGGGCTGGCCAGGCTGGGGGTGCTTGGATGTTGTTTTTTTCGGGGAATGCATTGATCCGATGTTCGAAGTTCGATGTTCGATGTTCGATGTGTAGCGACATTTGATGTTCGTTTCCTTATTCGTGTGGTCGGGGCAAGTATATATGTATGGGGCGAATGTATATATATGCTTGTGTGCGTGTGCCAGGGAACATTGATGTGTGTGCATGAGTTTGTGTGGGTCCGTGTGTGTTGGTATGGGGCGTGGGGTGGGGGCACAGTTGGTACTTCTCATGTGGAACCATAGAAGGGACTGTGCGGGAACCTCCAGTTTCGTCCTCTTTCATCCTCCGCCTGGCAGCGAGCTTCCTTCCTCTCCTCCTCCTCCTTCTTGTTTTACAACCTACAACCTATTTACATCCTGTGCGGATCCTTAGGGGGCGACGTGGCAGCATTGCATTGCTTGAGATTAACAGTTTCCATGTACGGCTAGAAAGTTACACTAGAGACAATCGTGGTCCCGGCAGTGGGTGTGGGCGGGAGTGTGGGTGTATCTGTGGTTGTGGCTGTGGGTGTGGGTGTGCATCATCTGCGCTGGTTCAGCATCTGCAGATAGTACTCGCAGTTGGTGCAGTAGACGGCGGGCGCAATCACATGCCGCTTGCGGCACAAATTACACTCCACGGCCTTGGCCGAGGCCTTCACGATGGCATTGTTGTAGACGCGGGTGGGTATGGCTGTGATGGCCGCCGGCGTTGTGCCAGGAGCTAATGGGCCTGGGCCGGCCGACTCGGGCAGTCCATTCTGCAGGGCCAACTTGGTTTGAGGCGGCGGCGGTGGCGGTGGCAGGCAATCAACTTCGCCCTTGGTCCCTGGCTCAAAGCTGACCTTCTTCTGGACAGGTTTTCCATTGGCAATAATCAGCTGCTGCTGCTGTTGCTGTTGGGCTGGCAAGGGGTAGTAGGTTCCGCCTGGTTGCTGGTAGCCATGTGGCAGTGGCACACGCTGATAAGGCGAAGGCAGCGGCACTTGCTCGTTGGACGATGCCTGGCCATTGCTGAAGTATCCCAGGCTCAGTTGCGGCGATGCCTGTTGGTGCTGCTGTTGCTGCTGTTGCTGTTGCAGCTGATGTTGCTGATGTTTCTGCAGATGCACCGAGTAGGTTTGTGGCAACAGATGAGGATGATGCAGTGGCCGGGGCATGCTGGTGTACTGGGCATCGATCTGGTGCTGCTGTTGCGCTTGCTGTTGCTGTTGCTGCTGCAGATGTTGCTGGCTGACGATGCCACTCATGCTGGTGCGATGTTGTTGCTGCTGCTGTTGCTGCTGCTGCTGGCGGTACATTTCCTGCTGTTGCTGTTGCTGTTGCTGCTGCTGCTGCTGTTGCTGTTGCATTCTCTGCACATATCGCTGCATGTCCGTGGCCACTGGTCTTCCCAGCATGGGCGAGGGCTGCTGCNTTGCAGCTGTAATTGTTGCTGCTGCTGTTGCTGCTGCTGCTGTTGTCGTGGCTGTGGCTCCGTCTGCAGTCGGAGCATGTTCTGCTGCTGCTGCTGGATCATCTGGGCCGTTACCTTCTCGTTTGGGTGCTGGGCGGTGCGCAGAACACGCTCCAGTATCGGATTGGGTATAAAGTCATCATCCTCCTCATTGCCGGCGGTTGCAACGAGTATCACCTGATCGCAGAACGACACGCTCTTTTTCTTCACACGCTTTGGTGGTGCACCAGCACCAGCACCAGAACCAGCCCCAGCACCAGCGGCGGCACTCTGATTGAGTGTCTGCTGCACCATCGAGTTGAGGAGCTCCACCTCGCGTATCTCCTCGGCAATCTGCGACTGGGACATCTCGTACTTGGGCTTGGGCAGCATCAGCGGTAGAGAGGCGCGCGATGGTCCGGCACAATCCACCTCATCAGCGTCGATCTTCGCCTGACTGGGCAGGCCGTTCATCTGGGTGCGTGGCTGGGCGAGGAGTTCCTGCGAGGCGTACGACCGAATGGTGGCCGTCTGCTCGAAGCGATGCGCCAGATCGCGGACACTGCTCGGGGAGGAGGCCTCCAGCTTGCGTTGCATCGATCGCAGATCGGCCGATTGCTTGGCCTGCAGCTCCTTCAGCCAATTGGCGTCCACGCTGTTGCCTGCGCTCGCTCCTGCTCCTGCTCCTGCTCCTGTCTGCTCCTTGCGCAGCTTTAGCAGATGTTGGCGCTGCTGCAGCTGGGCCAGGATGCTGGTGGTGCCCTCCAGCGAGTCCAGCTGCTGCTGCCGCTGCTGCTTGTTGGCCGCCTCCAGCTGCTGCAGCTGGCTGAGCTGCTGATTCAGCGGCTCCAGATCGAGCTCGGGTGGCGGCGGTGGCGGGAAGTCCTCGCTGGCCTGCCGCGAGTGGCAAACTGAGTGCGGCGGACTCGGATACGGGGGCAGCTCCATCGGTGGTGTCAGTGGCAGTGGCAGTGGCAGTGGCAGCTCCTCCTGCCCCATGCCCAACATTTGCATATCCTTCAGCGGACTCTGTTCGGAGTGCACCTGGGCACAGGTCGTGATTATGGTCTGGCAGGAGTCCTCGCTTATCGAGGTGTTTGAGCTCATGGCGGAGAGGTTCGACAGATTGGCCTCGTGGTGGAACTGCTGCTGCTGATGCTGGTGGGGCGTCAGGGCGGAGCTGGTCCGCATGGGTGGGGGCGGTGCCACCTTGGGCACGGGCATCGTCAGCTGCCGGCCGCTGCCGTGGAAGCTTTTTCGCATCAGTTTGCTTCGCTCCAGATTGGGATTCGGATTGCTGCCGCTGCCTATGCCATTGCTGTTGCTGTTGCTGTTGCCACCTGCCACATTGTTGTGGCACGGCCCAGTGCCGGGATAGTCAAAGTGACCCTCGGAGATGTAGCCGCTCATGGCGAGGGCGTGCTTGCCCAGACCCACGGCGCTGTCGTCCACGGAGCTGCCCATGAGGGCGACCACGGATGTCGGGGAGCACGGATGGTGCAGCTGCAGGTGATGGTGATGGGCACTGACCGCTGGCGGGGCATCGTCCACGGCCTCGGTGAGGTCGGGCATGGAGCGATTCTTGCGGCGGATGAGGCCGCCCATGAGCAGCTTGCGGCGGATCTTGTGCTGCTTCTTGCCGCTCTTGTCCTTCTCCTTCTTCTCGTCCTTGTCCTCCTTGTGCTTCTTCAGCGTGTCCTTGGCATTGACCAGCAGCGTCTCCGTCAGCGAGAACTCCCTCGTGAGCTTGTTCCGATCCTCGCTGCGGCTGCGCTTCTCCTTCTCCTTCTCCTTGTCCTTGTCCTTGTCCTTGCGCCCGAACAGAGAGCGACTCTCACGCTCCGGCTTCTGGCTGCTGGCCGGACTGCTGGCCACCACCTGCTGCTGCTCGTACTCGATGGCATTGTCGTCCATGCCAACAGAGCCGGAGGCGGATGCGGCTGCGGCGAGTGCCTTGAGCGGACTCTTCCGCTTCGGGAGCGTCGCGTAGATCTCAATGCTCTTGGACACGGCGCTGGGCAGGAGCTGCTGATGGTGCAGCTGGATCTGTTCCTTCTCCAGGGTGCGATCCTTGCTGTTCTGCCGGACGTGCTTCACGCTGCTGGTGCTGCCCTCCCGCATGTGCTTCAGCTCGGGCATCGCCTCCGACTCGGCACCCTTCTCCACCAGAATGCGCCGGTGCAGGCTGCGGGCACGCATCACGCACGTGTTGTGCTTCATCCGGGCAAAGGTCATCGTGTGTGGGTTGCTGTACGGCGCATCCATGGCGGCACGTGCCCGGCCAGCGGCCGCGTTGCACAGCACCAGGGCCGTCTCCAGATCGTGCGACTCCTCCACGATGCGGGACTTCTCCAGCAGCTGATCCGCCTCGTGGCAGAGCTTCTCGCAGTCCCCGGACAGGGCCATGCCATGGCCAACGCCAACGCCAGCTCCCACTGCTGCGGCAACATTGCCAGCTGCTGCAGCGCCCATGCCCATGGCTGCCTCGGGTATCTTGGCCAGCTGGGGATTGAGGATATGCTTGGGCGGATACGAGTCCGTGGAGCTCAGCGAGAACGAGTCATAGCCCGGGTCGTAGGGCAGTCCGTGCCGCGTGGGACTCTGCGGCACCGCTGCCACACCCCGCTTGGCCACCATGTACAGATAGGGATTGTCCAGCGTCGTGGAGCTGGCCGAGCTGGCGCTGTTGCGATCCCCCGACCAGTTGCCGGAGTCGCGTCTGCGCGGCTGATTCAGGTGCTCGGGCATGGTCAGGCCATCGCTGGGCGGTGAGCTGCCGTTGGAGGCGTGGCCGGAGCTCGACTCGGCGCTGTGGCTGCGCTGCAGCTGAAGGTGCTGCCGTCGTGCCAGCTGGGCGCTGAGCATCGCCTCGATGGGCTTCCGATTGAGGAAGCCGCCGTCCTTGTCCGCACTCGAGGTGGACACAGCGCCACTTCCGGCACTGATCTTGTCCTGGATGACGCTGAGATTCTGGTACTGTGCACTCAGGACATGCTCCACGGTCTTGCGGCTGATGTAGGCATCCGTCTCATCGGTGCCCGCTGCCATGGGCATGGCCATGGGCATGGCCATGGGCATGGGCATGGGGAAAATGTTCTTCTGGATGACACTCAGATTCTGGTAGTCATTGGTGGGCGTGCGCAGGGGAGTGGGCGTGATGGCGCGTCGAGTGCTGCCCAGACAGGGCTTCTCCGGACTGGGCGTCACCGCCCGACGCACCACAGTCGAGGCCAGACCCGCCGCACTCATGGCGGAACCAGCTGGAGAGGGCAGTGAGCCGACAAGCGGCAGCTGGTCCATGCCCGAGGAGGAGCTGGACGGCTGGGGCACTGCGTAGAGCAGCAGCAGCGGCTGATAGCGGCCGCGACTGCACTTGTCCACGACACCCTCCCAGCTGGGACCCACCTCCTTGACGTTGGCATCGTCGAAGTAGACCCAGACCTTCAGCTTCGTGTGGAAGAAGAAGGTGGTGTAGTGCTTGCCGTAGTAGGAGACGATCCCCACCAGCTCGTGCTGCGCCTGCTGGGCCCAACGCTGCTCGCTGACCTGATGGAAGACGTCGGCCAGGCGCAGACTTGTGCCCACAGCCTTGAGCACGGCATGCACCTGATCGGCGGCCGGTCTCTCCGAGTCCCACACGATGCCAATGGAGACGACATCGGGACGATTGAGCAGCGCACGACGTATCCCAATCTTGGCTCCACACGTGTTCTAAGAGGAAACCCAAAGAGACGATGGACAATGAGTGGCTGTGCCTGGGTGTAGATCCTTTGGGTTTACTTACCGGACAATCGCGTATGTCGCCCATGTTGCCGGCAGCCCTAAGCAGCTGGCCGAAGCTCAACTGCTGATGGCTCTGCATGGCCAGGCTCTTCTGTGATGTCAGTGCCGAAGCGGACACATAGTGCACCATCTGTAAAGGCAAGACAGATCAGAACAGAGAACAAAACAGTAGTCCAGTCGGGTTCGGGTCGGGTTTGGTTATGGTCAAGGCGGAAGTGCGACTCCCACAGGCTTTTGCTTGGCACGTGCTGACGTAAGCCACAGAATCACAGATCGCAGATCGCATCACTGATCTGCACCTTTTAAGGGTCGACTCTACGTTGGTGTCTCGCAAACTGGTTCAGCGGCTTTTGCACTAGAATCTGCATCTGCATGGATCAAACCAGTTTGAGAGGGAATTGCGATCGGCCACGATCGGTTAACTGTTACCCAGATTGACGCCGGACAGGCAGTCTGCACAGAACAGTCGACAGTCTGCAGGTGCTCTAACTGTGATCTCGATCAACGATCGATTGTCAGTGGAGGAGGAGAGACTCACCTGCGTGAATGGTAGCTGCTCGGAGTTGGCACCGCACTTGCAGACACTCTGCTCGATGACACGCATGGCGAAGCGGCGATGGGCAATGCAGGCACTGGACTCGCACGAGTCCCCATCGTCCGACGAGATGTGCGAGTGGACGCGATGCAGCAGCAGCTCAAAGCACTCGGCAGCATCGCCCAGGCAGCCCAGGGGGAAGCGTCGCCCAGCCAAGGGTCCACTGGCCAGTGCACGCCTCAAGGGCTCCGGGCAGAGGGCCGGCTCCGAGCTGGTCTGCAGCTGCTGGAAGAGTTCCTGTGTGGAGCAAAGGAAGAGCGGGATTAAGGCAGTGCTCAGAGTGGATCTTTGGGCATTTGCTAAGGCGGTTCCCCGTTTCTCTCTGACTTAAGTTTATTCCTAATCTATGCCCAGACTTACAATGACCGCATTGATGCAGCGATCTCGCTCCGCGGTTCCATTTCCGATTCCTCCACCGTGGCCGTGGCCGTGGCTGTGGCTGTGGCTGTGGCCGTGATTGTTGTTGTAGCCCAGCACTGCCAGCTCCACGCTGCTGGCCACCTTGGCCAGTGCACTCACCGAAGCCTTCTGCTTGCTCTGGCGCGTGAGAGTGGCCGCCTTGTGGCCACCACCCTCGACACCCGACTCCATCATCATCAGCTTCCGTGGACTGCTGCGTGGCAGTGTGCCACTGTTGCTAATCAGCTGATTCAGCTGCTGATGCGGGTGCTGATGCTGCAGCGGAGCGGCTATAATTGCCGATGGTGGTGCTGGCAGTCCAGCTGCTTGGCTTTGGCTCGGCGCTGCCGATGCCGATGCCAATGGCGATGGCGATGGCACCACATTTGTGGGCTCCTTTCGCTTGTAGCGAAACTTGATCATGTTGCTCCAATGGGCGGGGGTGTGAGCAGCTCCTTCCTCTGAACGATTGAGTTTCGCTGCGTTTCGTTTCGTTTCGTTTAGTTTAGTTGGGCATTTCACTGTGGATGGGATGGGGTTTAAATTGCTGAGGTCAGTTTCGCTGGAGACCTCTGGGAGGAGTAGGAAGCAGACTCAAAGGTTTTTGCCATTTGTTCGGGGGGGGAATTGGATTGTTTTCCCTTAGTCAGCGTCGAAGAGGGAAGTGCACCCCAACGTAGAACGGAAGTGGAAAAACAAATAAACAAAAAGCGAAGCGAAGCCCAAACAGAAATCGATTTGAACTCGGACTTCGCCCGCGGGCACGTGCCCTTGGCTGTGCGGAGACACCGATCCAAAGGGTTCTCTGGATAGATCGAAGAGGTGGCTCATTGCGACTCAGCTGCGACAGGTTCCTGGTCTCTTTGGCACACCCTAAACAATCATTTTAAGAAGCACAAAGAGTTTTTGGCATAGACTTTCGCTTTTGGTCTCGACCTCATTTGCCAGGCCGATCGCCGATCGCCGATCGCCGATCGAAAGTTTCGCTTCGCCACAAACCGGTCCAGACTCCGACTTGGACCTCAAAGTTCTCCACCTCCTGCAAACGACTGATAGCCATCCCCAAGCGGGCCAAAGTGCCAATGCAGCAGTTCGTGCACGTAAATATGTATGTACATAAACGAATGTACATAAATGTATGTATTTATGTACGGTCCACGCTGCACTCTAATGTTGCCACTTGACAACTGCTGACGCCTGGAAAATGAAGTCGCTCTGAATAGAACTCGACCCCAGTGTCAAGCACAGGCACAGCCCCAGGCATGGACCCAGTCCCAATTCTCATTCTCAATCCCAAAACGATCCCAAGACCCAAGACACGAAATGACGCCATATGCGACATATGGCTGAGACACTCTTGGGCTAAGTAAAACGCCTTTTTGTTCGCTTTTTGCTTTTGCTTTTGGTTTTGCTTTTGTTGCCGCTGCCAATTACAATTGCTTGGCCAAGAGCAACAACAGCAGTCAGCTCAGAAATAATGCTGATGTGTGTGCAAACATATGGGATATGGTCGTAATAGTACTCGTACTTTATATGGACATGCGATACCTGGAATCGTATTGGGAATCGGCACAATTAACACTTGTCAACTGGCGCAAAGTGGCCCCACAAAAGTGAGTTCATCATTCGGCAAAGGTGAGTGAGGGAAGTGAAAGCCAGTCCCGAAATATGCATGAGAAATGTCCCAATGTTGAAGCGCAACTGTACTGCTTCCAGGCGTAAAACGAAGCGAGAATAAACATTCCGAAAGTAGTTGAACAATCTATTGGGAAGCCCTTCTTTGGCCACAAATTGCTGTGCGTCAGCAGATGGCTGGCGCTTGGCCACACACGGAGAGACTCGCCCAAAAACTGAATCAGAGTTGACTGCACTTTTTGTGACAATTGCGGGCAGGGAGGGTTCCAGGGCCAAGAGGTGAAAAAGTGTTTAATAAGCGGAAAAGCCAAGCGGAAGTTGTGGCTGGAGGAGCCAGAGGGAGACACTCCAATGATTTCCAGTTTTTACTTTTTTCCCTAAACAGGTGGAGTGTGGGGAGGGGATTACTGTTGTATAATTGCCCATTCATTGGACAAAACAGTTGCATTTTAATTAGTTTAGAGCAATGCACTTGGGCGTCTGAAAATGTAGCGTCACGCTCTTTAATTTCCATTAGCCGAGTGCCAGCAACCCAATTCGATGTCCCAAGCCCACAGACCATCATGGACCATGGACCAGGCAACTTTGTTGCCACACCACGGACAACGAGCAATGAGAGTGTGCAATTAGTTGGCCAATTAATTGAGCAACAATTGCCACGAAGGGCCATAGGAAAAATGATATCTTTTCGAGAGGATCTTCTAAAGGAAACTCTAATCATTTTTCTACTCATTTTCCTGCACGTCTTAATGTTGAGTTTTGAGTCAAATTTCAAAATTTGTAAATTGAGTTTGCACTCGAAAGGGGAACTTGTAGTCCTTGAAACATGGCTGGGCACTATTTATAGCTCTTTGCGCACCTCAATCGAGCGCAACACACACACACACACACAAACAAAAGCAAAAAGATACAGATACAGATACAGATACAGACAGACAGCTGGCTGCAGATACAAAGATTCGAGAGCGGGTTTCAGTTTTGTTTTGTATTTGAAATGCAAACAAGTTGGAAACAGCAGTTGGCCTGCATGCTAAAGCGTTTCATTTATTATTATTACTATTATCATTATTATTGCTGTCTTTTGTTGAAGTTGTTGCTGCTGGAAGTCTCATGATTTATGAGCATTAATTGTTAAGCCACAAGCGGGGGCCAAAGCGCTCGGCTCGAAGCGAATTTTGTTTGTTTTTTACGGCCAAAGTGTTGTGCCGCTGCTTCCGCAATTACAACGGCAACAACAGCGGCAGAATAACAGCCAGAACTGACCTTTTTCCCAGAGCCAAAGATTGAGAGATTGAGGAAAATGCAAGCAAGAGACCAGTCAGCAGGGTGGCAGGGGAGGGACAGAGAAAACTGGCAAGGCCCAGGGCAAAATGTGAGAACCTGAACACGTGCAACCTGCCACAGACAAAAGGATGCTTGAAAGAAAAACGGAGAAAAATCTCTGAAAAAAAAACCCCGAAAGATGCACAGATATGGCCAAAGAAGTGGCAATAGAAGTAGAAGGGGCAAGCGAGACTCAGGTAGACAGGTGACCGGGCCCAGCCTTGGGCCGCACGACGCACGACGCACGACGCACGTGAGGCGGCTGCCAATCGTTCAACTTGGGGGCTAATGGCTCTTTTACATATGCCAGACATGCGCCAGCATTTTGAGAATTAGCCATAAATACGCATATGTACTATAGCTCCACGGAGTGCTGGCAACAAGAATTTAACGCATTAATATGCTGGCCCCACAGACACAGAGTCGAAGTCGAAGTCAAAGTCGCTGCCAAAGACGTTGAAATCGATGATGAAGATGATGATGGCTGGCGGTGGCCAGGATGGTGGAGTAATGATTGTGACATATGCCCCAGCGTGGAGACGCGGCCTAAAGCGGAGTTTGTGGCCCAAGTCTTTCGTTGGCTTTGGATTGGGACTGGGACTGGGACTGGGATTCGGTTTCGGTTTCGGGTTGATGGCTTGCATTTCAAGTGGGGGCGGAGACCAGTTGGCCTGGCCCCAGCACTGAGTACTGGTTTTTATGGCCTGGCAAATGCAAATTGAAAATGCAAAGTGCCCAAGCGACCCACACTCCCGGCTCGACTCCCTCTTCATTGGCCCACAAATTGCACTTAAATGTTAGCTAGTCTTTCTCTCTCTCATACGTGTGTGTGTGTGTCTGTGGGGGGAATATCGCGTGATTCTCTGGACTTTCCCTAGGGAAAGACAATTGGCCTGAGAAGCCAGCCATGGCACTCTTTAGAGCTTTGCGAGCTGTGAGCTGTGAGCTGCGTGCGATGCGCAGATTAATCTTTAATAAGCAGCATAAATGCATTAGGAGAGTGCCCACTGTACCAGCGTTGGTCCCCCAGCCGGTTTCTGCCACAAAGGACAGGGGCATAGGGGGTTCTGCTGCTCACATTTACATACCAAAAGATGCCTCACAAAAGGCCAAAACACTGCTGCGGCTGCCAAATTGCTGGAAACAAGTTAGCGGCTGGCTTAGTGGCTCAGTGCGCGTACCGCTATGGACCCACATGGCGGCAGCGCCGAACGAGAAGACAAAACAAAGGCAACCGAGCCAATGGCTATAACTGGATATCGATTAGAGTTTCGGAGCCTAGAGATCGGAGATCTAAAAACTCGAAAACTATGCAAAGCAGCCAAGAGTTCTCATCCCAAATCTGGCATTGTGAAACGATCCACAAAGACTTCTGTTAGACGATCAAACAAACTTCCCTTGAAAGTTGAGCAAACTTTGATCTTCCATAGATCCCAATCGAACTGCTTCCCGGAGGCAAACCTTGTGTGCTTCTATGCTGCATCTTTGCACAACTTACGCCGGCATTATAATAGGGGTATTCATGTATTCCAGGCTCGATTCTTCGCTGAGTTATATCCGAATGGCTGCTCCAGCTAAAAGGCACTTTTGCACATTTGCCAGTCAAACAACTTGTTGTTTTTGTTGGTCGTTTTTCTTTTTCTTTTTTGTTTCTTTAACTTTTGTCGAACTCTTCAACTTTTGTCAGGCACGGGCACACACACTCCAAACTTGAAAAAAAACAACAACAAAACGAGATATGATTGAAATCAGCGTTTTTTGCCGCGCGCGCGATATTTTGGATTCTCGATTACTGTTTCTACTGGTGGCTGCGGCTGCGGCGGCGGCGGCGGCGACTGGCTGGATGGTTGGATCAAACACGTCCGCACTGTCTCGCGACT